TAAGAAACGCCTGCCTCTGACATTCGCTTGGTGTCGAGACTGAATGGCAAGATGGCATAGTGAGGGAAGGGAGGAGTCTTTGGTTATGTGACGTACACAATTTCTTTCCAAGGTATGCAGTGTGCGGGATTTGATATTGACGGGAGGGATGAAGTGACAAAATTGTGAATGAGTACAGAAGAACTTTTCTACCGATGACAGTATATGATCAAGCCCATACAGTAATTAGAGGCAAAGCCACATGCTTTTTCCCGTCATGCAGTAAGATGATCGAGTAACACTGTGCAAACCTGGCGATTCTAAGGTTGCGGAGGCCGCATTCCATATCTGCGGCGCCGGTGGCGTCCCGACCCGACTTCACCTCCGCTCTGTGCCCAGTGAGTGGGAAACCTGATCCAACACTGTCTTGGAAGCAGTTCATGCTCCCTCGCTTCTATTCTCATCTGTCTCTCCATTGTATCAAAACCTTCCTGCAGATTGTGCTTGATTGAAAATGCCGCGGTTTTCTCATTTTTACGCAACTCTGTCGCGACAGGCAGTTTCGACCCTGGCTGCTCGACATAATGCCGCTATTGCGCGTTCCCTCAAAACCTCCTCCATGAAAGCCGCTGTTGCCCACCCTATTACTACCCATGGGCCTCCCCCCAACGCGCCATCACCTGCACCTTTCTTCGATGCATGCTCTGAATTGCGATCCGAAAGTTCACTCGAAAAGGAGGCAAATGCGCGTCCAGAAAAGCCCTCTTCAGGACTCAAGAAGCGCTTCTGGAAGGATGTTAGTGTTCGGAAAAAGTCAGGTAAATCTCGAACAGCTACTGTGGCGAATATACGTTTAGGGCTTGGATTGACTCGATTGCCAACGTGCTCCGGATTCTAATAGTAGAAGGCAATTACGAAGTCTTGCTGGACACCCGCCCCATAAGAACGCCGTCCAAAGATGCCTTGTCCATACCCTCGACGAAACCTTACCTAGCGCATGCGATTGCTTTGGAGTGGGATGTGATGACTACCGCCCAGCAAGCTCTGAAAAATCATCTTATCCCGCTGACATCTCTTACGGCGCGTGCGGCGGATATTGCTCGAGAGGATGAGGAAGGCATATCGTCCGCAAGGAATCAGATTGTGAAGACCGCGATGCGTTATCTGGACACCGACACACTACTATGCTGGGTGCCCGAGCCTGCTGACTGTCTTAGAGAAACCAACGAAAATGGTGAAAAAGTCGAAAGTCTTCGAGAGGCGCAGATGAGGGTCGCCAATGATACTATTGCCTTCCTGGGTACCAAGGTCTGGCCCGGAGTTGATATTCGACCAATTCTAGATGCCGACAGCATCCTGCCCGTATCCCAGCCGCAAGTCACCAAGGATATCATTCGACAGTGGGTCATGAATCTGCATGCTTTTGATCTGGCTGCGCTTGAGAGAGGTATACTCGCAGCGAAGAGTCTTCTGATCGCTGTTCGACTGGTCGCTGAGTGGAGCGAGAACTTCCGTGGCTTACAACGACCTGGACAGAAAAGATTTGGGATTGAAGATGCAGCAGAAGCGTCCAGTATGGAAGTTAAGTGGCAGACGGATATGTGGGGCGAGGTGGAAGATACCCATGATGTCGACAAGGAAGACCTTCGTCGACAGCTAGGTAGTGTTATCGTTGTAGTCAGTGGAGAGACTAGGTGAAGCTCGGGCTATACAGCCATCATTTAAGATTGTTGGCTTATGTTTGTATTTTACTCCTTGTATAATAGATTTTACCTTTTTCCTTCAACCGTGCGCCCGTTTGCCGAAGCGCGCGAAGCGATGAGCAGTTATACTCAATTGTCGGGAGATTCTCCAAGAAGTGACGTGACGCGCGCCGCCTCCCCAGATCCGACCCCTCCATCCCTCTTTTGCCGACCCCAAACCAACCTCCTTTTCCTTGCTTACCTCGGCTCCTTTTCCTTTCCTCATCCCACCTCGCAGCTGAGGGTTCCCAGCGATTCCCGCTGCATTTGACGCTGTACTTGACACCGTACTTGACATCCTGTATCTAGAGGAACCGGCGTGGGAACTGATTGTGGCCGCGGCGAGCAGAAGAGAGAGATGACGGATAAGGGTGAAGGGTGAGTGCATCTTGAGATTGATTTCTGAATCGTTCGCGGCCAAACCTCATTCTCTTAACACTTGTTGGCCGGCTTACTCGCCTATGTGGCCAGGGGCCCGGAATCCCCATCGGAAAGACCGCCGTAATTTGGGCGTGCTGACACTGGATGTCCTTTGCGACCTTTAGGCATAAACGTTCCCGCAGTTCTTTGGCGCTGGCAATCTTGCACCGAGACAAGTCGCGCGAGGGTCGTGAGGGCAGTGCCAGTCGCGATCGCGCCCAGTCACCTCCTCCTTCCACATCCTCTCCGGTCGGCAGCAGCACGTCCTCCTTCCCTGGTATACCAGCCGCGCGAAGCTCCAGCCGCCGTAAATCACATCAAGAGACGAACTTGTTGCCTTCGATGGCTGGCGAACCTCCGCGAGAATCGATGAGCTCCCTCCGAGACGACGACAATATCGAGAAGCTTCCCTCTTTGCCCCATGCCGAAGGCAGTAGCATGTCTCTGGACCAGTCGGTGAGAACTTTCCGCCTTTTCGAGATCCTTCGGAGCGGCGACACCATCGCTATCTCTAAAGCCATAAAAGAGACGAAGGAGCCTCAAGGGGCGACCAATCTGTCAGGTACGACGGTTCTTCACTTGGCTATTCAGTGCGCGGAGCCGCAAGTCGTGGAGTATGTACTATCGACGGGCGAAGAGTTGGATGTGAATGCTCAGGACCGAGATGGCAATACTCCCCTTCATCTGGCCGCTCAATTAGGACGTGGTCCTGTAGTTCGTGAGCTGCTGAGTCGGCCTTCGCTGAATGACTCAGTTGTCAACTACGGTGGTCAAACAGCTCTTGACGTTGCCAGGACTCCCGAGATATTCCAGCAACTTCAGCTAGCGCGGTCACTCTTCATTGACCATAAAACCCAGGAGATTCAAACATTGGTCTCCCAAGGTGAATATGCGAAACTTGAGAAGGTTTTGGAAGAGCCTCGGGTTGAGGGTGTGATGGATGTCGATAGCCTGAATCTAGTCACTGATCCTGCTACTATTCAATCTGGGGGAACGTTGCTACACGAAGGAGCAAGGAGAAGAGATACGAAGCTGATACAGATTCTTTTGATGCATGGTGCCGACCCATTCCGCCGCGACAAAAAGGGAAAGCTCCCACAAGACGTCACCAAAGATGAAAAGACTCGTGCGATCGTCAAAAAGTCCCCGGCCGCTGTCATGGCTCAACGGGGTATACAGGAGAAAGCCATTTTAGGAACTAACGCAACGGCCCCGAGCGTCTCTGGCCGGGTGGGCGTAGCCGAAGCTCCCTTCGCTGGCAAAGAAGCTCGTGAGATGAGAGGATATCTGAAGAAATGGACAAATTACACCAGTGGTTATAAGCTACGGTGGTTTGTATTGGAGGATGGGGTCTTGAGCTACTATAAACATCAAGGTGAATTTAGCCAAACACACTCGTTTCCAATCATGTGAAATCGGCTAACCTGATGCTTACTCCTTGGCGTTGGCAGATGATGCGGGCTCAGCTTGCCGGGGTGCTATCAATATGAAAATTGCCAGGCTTAACATGGATTCGCAGGACAAGACTCGTTTTGAAATTCACGGCAAGTCATCGGTCAAGTACCATCTCAAGGCGAATCATGTCGTCGAGGCTAAGCGCTGGTTCTGGACGCTCAACAATGCCATACAATGGGCAAAGGACGAAGCAAAAGAAGAAGAGAAGCGCCAGACAAGGCATGCCGAAGTGCTACGCCAAGCGAAGATCGAACAGACTGAGGGTCGGTCGCCTGAGAGCATGTCAGACTCGCCGGGCTTCAATACCTACAATAAATCGAGTGGGAGAACCCTGGCTCCATCATCCAATGCCGTACCAAGCAGTAGTGGCACACGGCTTAGCACGTATGCATCGCGTACAACGCTAGAAAGTGCTCCTGAAGATGATGAAGGCTCATTGTACGGCTCGTTGGATCATGCTGCACCATCAAACGCTGTCCGCCGTCTCGCTAGTCATGCAACTACTGCGCCCGACATTGACGGAGATGATGATATTGATGACGATGATGGGGACTATGCATCCAGCCACGATATACCGCCAACTGATAAAGATGCTCTGAATATCACCGCACAGTCGACCAAACTCCAGCTTGATATCCTTGCCAACATTGCGGCTTCAATGCAGGTGGAACAATCGAGAAGCCCGAGTACAACTCTGTCAGATCCGGCCGTCGAGCAAGCTCTGGTAGCTTACGGAGCAGCCGTGAGTAGCTTACAAGGCTTGGTGCAAAATCTTTTGAGAATTTCCAGGGACCGCGATGCTTATTGGCAATATAGGCTCAACCGTGAGGCCTATTTACGTAAGATGTGGGAAGATAGTATGGCTAAGATAGCGCATGAACATGAAGAACTGCAGTCGCGAATGGGTGAGTCGGAGGAGAAACGACGGCGCACCAAACGGGCGCTCAGGGAAGCATTAGAGTCAGCTACTACTGGCCATGTTGATGGCAGGGCTCCTTCTCATGCACAAACCATCAAAGATGACCCCGATGTTGCAAAAGTCGAGGCTCATGCATCCGATGTGGTTGACAAGTGCCCACGGCTAACGGAGAAAGAGCCAGGGCAGTCGCTCAATCACAAACAGTCAACTCTCTCTCAGATCAACAACCTTTGTGACTCAGGGTCCGACGATGACGACGACGACGAGTTTTTTGATGCAATTGATTCAGGGGAGATTGAGGTGGAGAAATTGTCATCTGTACCTTCAGATGATGACGGGAGGGAGTCTCCAGATGAGGGTAGCGAGCTTCGAGCCATCAAGCGGAAGGAAATTATCCCCTCATTCACAGGGTACGATGAGTCCGTCAGGGAACGGCTGAGAATGGACTATGACAACAGGCCGAAAATCTCGCTCTGGGTAAGTAACTGCTCGACAACCCACTGCATAAGGAACCTGACATTTGTGAACGCTCACAATAATTATAGGGTATTCTAAAGTCTATGATTGGTAAGGACATGACGAAGATGACCCTTCCAGTCTCTTTCAACGAGCCAACGTCGTTGCTTCAGCGAGTGGCTGAAGACCTGGAATATGCGGACCTCCTGGACATTGCCGCTGATAGACCCGACTCCATGGAGCGGTTGTTATACGTCGCTGCGTATGCTGCAAGCGAATATGCATCGACCATTGGCCGTGTGGCAAAGCCTTTCAACCCCCTCCTTGGTGAAACATTCGAATATGTCCGGCCTGACAAAGGTTATCGGTTCTTTATTGAGCAGGTCAGCCACCACCCACCGATAGGCGCTGCCTGGGCTGAGTCAACCAAATGGGATTACTATGTGAGTACTTATTCTTAGAATATTCTAATGTAGTGACTGTCGTCAATTTGCTGACTGGTCCATAAAAAATAGGGCGAGTCTGCTCTCAAATCGAAGTTCTACGGGAAATCTTTCGACATCAATCTCTTAGGGACATGGTTCCTTCGATTGCGGCCGGCATCCGGAGGAGAGGAATTATACACTTGGAAGAAAGTCACGTCATCCGTTATCGGCATCATTACTGGTAATCCAACGGTCGACAACTACGGGTTAATGGAGATCAAAAATTGGACAACCGGCGAGATCTGCTACCTGGATTTTAAACCCAGGGGATGGAAGGCATCCTCTGCCTATCAGGTGTCCGGGAAAGTAGTAGATCGAGATGGAACCCCGAGATGGAGTATTGGCGGCCGGTGGAATGACAAAATATATGCGCGTCATACTCCCGGGTTTGAGGCGCCGGTGTCTGGCCAGGATCCCGAATCAAACAAGACGCTTTTGGTCTGGCAGTGTCATGCGCGCCCAAGAGGAATTCCGTTCAACCTGACTCCGTTCGTTATCACCCTCAACGCTCTGCCGAATGGTCTCAAGGAGCACCTTCCTCCTACGGACACACGGCTTCGACCTGACCAGCGTGCGATGGAAGAAGGTGAATATGATTTGGCGGCCAGTGAGAAGCATCGGGTGGAAGAAAAGCAACGAGCCAAGCGCAGAGAGCGCGAGACCAACGGGGAAGAATACCAGCCCAAGTGGTTCACGCGAGCCCAGTGCCCAATCACCGGAGAGGAGTACTGGGCACACAACGGTAATTATTGGAAGTGCCGAGAATCCCACGATTGGAGTGGCTGTGAGGATATTTTCTGAGGGTGAATAATGCGTGTGTTTGATGCGTGGTCATTCCCACTGTAACTATGATTTCACACTGGAAGGATACATGCCTCAATGGCTGAGTGATTGAAGATGCTATGCATCTTGACTGTAGCATAAAACTTATTCAACACCACTTTGCTGGGCCGCAGATGTCACGTGTGAATGCTTGGCAACCGTTCAGTAAGCTCCGTCCTGCAACTGCTTCTCGCGTCACTGCCGGATAGTCTCGACACTCAACCACTTCTTATATTTCATTCGTCTTTTGTTTTCTTTCTTCTTTCCTTTTCTTCCTGGCTCATGTTAGCTCTGTACCAACCAGCAATGACTGGTGAGTACACCTGTGGTCGCTGCCTACATGCACTCCGCCAACGGGCTGTGGTACGCCTGCCACACTATGCACTGCCTAGTAGAGGATATGGGCTGTTCAAACCTGCCTTGGTGCGGAGTTTGAGTAGCTGTAGCAAAGGCCTCCTTTTCTCGGATAGCCCGCCTCAAACAGCCTCGAAGCAAACAGCATTCACTCCCCCGACTGCGTCCCGAAGTCTCGGATCGGTCGTGCACAAGGCTTCGTCTTCCACCTCAAACACTTTTCCAGATTCGCGTGTCTTGTTGAAACCGAACAACCTCTTCCATTCGTTCTCTCAGTCACCAGCAGCGGCCATTCGACAGCGTGCGGCTTTCATCAAACAAAACGCCTTCTGCCCACATCCAAGCCACCAGCAGACCCGACTGCCTGTCTCTCCCCACGACCCAGAGACGCGCAAGAGCCCACAGAGCTCGAATCTGCCGCCGGCGCACTCTCACTTTGAATGTCCAGACTGCGGCGTGCCGATCTATTGCTCGGAGGGACATTGGATGGATGACTTTGAAGCACACTTGGAGGTCTGCGAGACCATCCGACAGATCAATGAGGACGATCATGACTTGCATTCTGGGCGGGTTTTCCCGGAGTTCACCTACCCAGGCCTTCAAGATGATAATTTCGTCATCAACATGACGAACTGGGACACTTTTCTTTATACACGAGAGTTTGAGGCGATCAACGATGACCGGAGCATGCGGCAAGTGACCCGGATGCTAACCTATCCGCTTACACTTGCGAGTGTTTTGCATGAACTGAGTCCCTACAATGTCCGAAAGGGAGGGAGGCTTACGGTGGAGGGGCTTAAAAGTGTTAGTGGTAAGTCATCACGGCGATTTCTTCATCTCGTCTCTTTCCCTCACATGCTCTATGAGATGTTTGCCTAACTGGGAGTCGCAGCGTTGCGATACACTTTACACCCTCCAAAGACAGGAGAGGGTGTCGATATTCGAGGATTACGCCTGAAGGCACCTCCGGTCCGCATTTTCATCCTAGGGGCCCGGGCTGAGTCTTCCTTGCCGCGAGAGGTTTGGTTGCAGCTCAGCTACATCTTCCCACGCTCTCTCATTCATCTCATTTTCATCGGACCGGAGAGTATGACGAACCGCGACGCCGAGTTCCCGCTGCCAGAGCGGACACCTGGCAACCCATTCGGGGGTGTCGTCGAAGACCGACTTGGAGGTCAATTCAAAATCACGACCTACGTTGACTACTTCCACACAATGTACAAAGCCAACTACTTCCAACCTTTCGATCCATACTTAGACTGCATCATGCTGTTTCATCCCGGACTCGGACACCCGGCAAGCTCTCACGAGTGGGAAGAAACCCTCCCGCAACTACTGGAGACCAAGGTGCCGATCATCAGCACAGGCTACACGCAGTGGGATATGGAACGGGATATCAAGTGGGTGCATGAGAAATGCGCCGGCGAATTCGATATTCTGCTTGAGCCGGGTGAGAATATTTTCCGCAGCTTACGCTGGGATCTCAATGACTTGGACCCTCATGATGTTTCGTGTGGCAACTGGGGTGTCTGGGCTTTCAGAGGAAAGAGGTACGCAGTGCATTCACTTCCCTTCTGTCTTTCTGTGCTAACTAAATCTTAAAGATACGAGGCAACATTCCGCAACTAGAAGCTGTTCTCCCCGTGCCTGATACACTTGTTCGCAACAACATTACTGCAACTGTACACTATGTTAATGCCGTCTATGCCTTCGTGCATATTTCCATGAAAGCTCGACGAGCCTAATCTTAGCTTTCATTATATCTGGTCAACAGTACATATATTCTTTCCCGTCGTGGCAACTTACTTGATGCAACCTGGACCGCATCACTAAAACCGCAAGAAGAAGTGAAAAGCTAGGTAAAAAGCTGGTCAAGGCTAAGCTCTTGCTCGGGAATATTACAGTAAAGTTTCTGCCAACACTGGGCTGATACATCAAACCTCGAATATTGAATTGCTTGTTGCTTTCCATCACAAGTATGAGCTCTACAATAGCGCGGTGGAAATCTGAACTGGTAGACAGAACAGCCGTACGGCCTCCTGTCATCGCCACCGTAGCTAGTACCCCCTGTCAGAGGGAATGAGAGGCCATTTGTGTTCAAGCAGAGGACGAGACACTGAGCTCGAACATCCAAGGAAGACAGTTGCGCCAAACGAGCTCAAAGCATGATCAGACCAACGGCAGCCAAGACACCAGCGGCAAGGCCGCTCGATAATTTGGTGGATGGGACCGCAGCGCTGGTCTCAGTCGCCTCGGCTGCGTCGGCGGAAGTAGAGGATCCGGATTCAGATTTTGTGTCGGCGGAAGCACCTTGAGTGGGAAGGGTGGTGGTCTTGGTGATATAGGACCTAGTGAAGGAAGGGCTGGCGGCCACAGAAGAGCTAGCACGCACGGAGCTGGCGATAGCAGAGCTGGCGAAGTGACGGCTAAAAGTTGGCGTGTGGCTGGAGAGATTCGACAAACTTGCGGAGTGAACCTCCGAGCTGGCGGTAGTGGCAGTCGCGTCGATGTTGCTGCTTCTTAAAATAAGTGGGGACGAAGTAGTCGAGGTGGAAGCCAGTGTGGGCGTCGTAGAGGAAACTTCGGGATAGGCAGCGCTCGTTGTGATGGCAGCGGCGGCAGGTATGGCCTGCACCGCTGCGGTAGCAAATGGTGCGTAGGCCGCGCAGGCAATCAGCAGAGCGTTCGAGATATACATATTCGATCGAGGTGTGTTTCTCTCTTGCGCTCAACTTATCCTGAGAGACTGAAAGTGACTGGGGAATGAGACCGGCTGATAGAAGCCAACAGTTTCCCAATGGGGTGAAGTCTGGAACAGTAGAATATCTTGACGAGCCAATGCAGTGTGCTTTGAAGGCACTCTGGAATGTATATCCGTATAGTTTGTGCAATAGTATCACAATTCAAGCGGAAGAAATAGAGACACGGCGAAAAGAATGGATGGAGCTGCAAACGAGGGACTGCTCTTGTGTACGGAGACAAAATGAAGGAATTCTAAAATCAATCAACGCAGGGAATGAATGACAGCACTGCTGTAACTATCGCGATCCATAAAAGCTGCAGAAGAAAACAAACAATAAAGAAGAAACAGGGCAGGAGTGTCAGAATAAGAGGGAAAGGGGGGGGGGGAGAAGATGGGATGGCTGACGTGCCCACTCACTGCTTGGCTTTCTTTCATCAAATGCCGTCTGGGTCCGGATTTGTTCAGTCATATTGTAAGAGTCCACGCAATAGTATGCATATTTCTAGGGCTGGGGGCTGACAGGAAGGATCCTAGACAACTGATTAGGCCCCAGCATCGATCAATTCAGGATTTCGACCCCAAGTTGTATCCACATTACAACAACTGCCATCTACGATGCCGTCCACGCTACCGTAAGTATGTAGTAGAGGTTCCAAAGCCCGGCATTATCAGATGGGGGATGGGGGATAGCAGCGAGCAGTGGTCGACTAGCAAGAAACATGTAGGTCTGGAGAGGCTGAAGGGCTTTCTTTTCCTGTGTTGAGAAGATTGGTGTCTGTAGACCCTCAACCTGAGACAATGACGGCCGAGAGTGATGAAACATTGGTTGGAGAATAGCGAATGAGATTGATCAAGTGAAGTTTGCCATGGGCCTTAATTTGGTCTGGCCGCAGTGGAGTCGGTCAAGCCCTGCAGCAAGCACTCGGGCGGTGAAGTCTAGGCTCGAAGACCGGATCAAGTGACAAAAAAAGAAAAAGGGGGGGGGATAATAAGGAAAAAAAAAAAGAAAAAAAAGAACTGTACGTACCCAGAAAAGTACTTAGTAGTAACAAGAGAAGGGGTATTCTACGGAGTAGATCTATAACAAGAAACTGGATAAAGAGAAGCAAAACCCCTCATCACAAAGCCCACACCTGGCCCACCACCAACGCAACGATGGTCCAGTACCCGATGGCAAGGCTCACTTGGCTTGTTGGTCCAGCTGCGGCGGCGGATGAGGCAGAGGAATCGGCGACGGTAGTCCCATTGGGTAAGGTACCATTGATATAGATCGAGTCGGTGCCATTCACATTGGCAACCCGCGTGATGCTTGTGTTCGTTGGTTGGCTGCTGTTAAACAGCGACTCATAGTAGGTGGAATTGGAGTTGTCATCACAGCCACATTCCAGGTACTGTTGGCATAGACAGACCACGGGCATGGACTCATTGCGGTGCGAGGACTGGTTCACATAATAGTAATGATGGGGGTATGGATAGGCGTATACGTTGTATGCCCAGAACCCGAAGAATGCCAGACCAGTCGCAGGCAACAGATAGGGCGTGATGCCCGTTCGCGATCGAGAACCCGAAGTATAGGGAGCGGTCGCGCCGCCAGCATAATATTTGCCGCCCCCGTAGGCTGGTTGTCTCCCTGAACCGCTGCGAGTTGAGCCTCCAACGTTAGTCGAGGAACTGACAGAACAGAAAACAGAGTCAGTCAGCTTTGTCTGCACACGGAAAGGGTCTTCACATCATTAAACACTCACCCAGTCCTCGAACCACTTCCACTACCTCCACTGCTTCCACTGCTGCTCCCTCCGCTGCTACCGGTGCGGCCACCACTGCCTCCCCCACTACTGCTGCCCCCTGCACGACCTCCCCCTCCTCCCCCACCGCGACGCTTTGCAATTTCTGAGGTATAGCCAGACTGATCTCTTGACCCAGGAGCGGAGGACGGGAGAGCCAGTGATATGGTGGCTGAGGCCTGGAGAAGAACCACCAGGGTAGTCAACCAGATAAATTTCATAATGGTGAAAATGCGATACCAAGTTCTGTGTTCTGCAAGGTGATCAAGATGTTGTTCGGTGTGAATCTAATGAGAAACCTGAAAAGAGAATGCTGTAGAGAGTAAGATCCCCGATGACGAAGAGATTACAGATGTTGAATGTCTCACTTGGCATTTTCGGCACAGGAAAGTCTAATGGAAGGAAGGAAGTTGAGCCTGACTTCCCTTGTCTCCAACCCAAAGAGCTTTGTTCTCTCTATGTTGATGACCTCGAAGAGTTCTTTGTTAGATTTGAGGGTTGCTGTTCCTGATTCTATTATACTGAGCAGGATTAAGAAAAAGGAAGAGCGAGAAAAACACACACACACACACACACACACACACACAAAGGCATAGACAAAGAAATTGAGGTGTCAATGTGCAAATGAGGTCATCCACAATGATGGCGGACTTGTGTACCGCAACTTTGAAAACCAATAAGGATGGATGGAATGGTCTATGTCTACCTATATGTCTATGCCGTGGCATCCGATCCGAATAAATAATTATACCTACCTACGCATAAGGTAGTGTCACATAGATAGTGGTCTGAAAGTCATCATTTAGTACTACTATGCACCAAGTAGTGTATATGTATTAAGAAAAATTTCAACTTTCTCTCCTCCCCGAACCCCAGATCCCCCATTCAGACCCATCAATTCACTCTTGTTGGTGCGGTCGCACCAGCGGTCTGTACTTCGGCTCCCACATTTGAATCCGAACCCATTCATCCAATTCCTGATCGTCCGTAGGAATTCCCGTCTCCTCAGCGTGCCCTTCCTCCACTGCGGTCTTGATTATCGCCTTGGCAATATCGATGCTAATCTCTCGCACATCCTGAACGTCGGGGAGAAGTGGCTCCTTGGGATCTTGCAGCGCCGGCGACCGCATAGCCAATGCTTTGACTGCTGCGACAAGCATCTTGTCTGACACAACGCGGGTCCGCGAGAGAACCGCTCCCAGTCCGATGCCAGGGAAGCAAGTAGAATTGTTGCATTCGGCTGCATCACGTCAAAAGTCAAACTCATTAGCTTGGGATATCGTATCCGTCAATACTGGGCTGTCTCCTTACCAATCTCGTACTTCCCTCCGTCCCGTTCAACAGGTGGGAATGGACTGCCGGTAGCCATTAAGGCCTTGCCATCTGTCCAACGATTGATGTCCTCGGGACACGCTTCGTGCAGGCGTGTGGGGTTGCTGAGAGGGAACACGATCGGGGTCTCGACGTGCTTGGCCATCTCGCGAATGATCTCTTCCGTGAAAGCTTTAGGCTGGGTAGAAGTCCCAATCAAAACGTGCGGTTGCACCTTTTTCACCACGGCCAGCAAGTCTCGGGACTTTTCTTCAGACCATTCGTCGTCGTCCCGTGCAAATGGCACTTGGGCTGGTGTCAGTTGATCTCCCAAAGACTTGAGAAGAAGCCCGGGCTTATCAAGGCACCTGCATATGGCTCATGATTCAGTACATCGCGATAATAACACAAGACGGCGTGGTCGGCCGGACAGTGCTTACCATATCTGCTTTCTAGCTTCTTCCTTTGGCTTGCCCGCCTCATTTTCGATCGTGTCAGCGATTTGCGCGGCAATGCCTGTGCCAGCAGACCCGGACCCATAAACCACGATCCGCACAACCTCCATCTTAACCTTGCTAACATGCAATGCAGCCATCAAGGCAGCCAAGGTCACACACCCCGTCCCTTGAATATCATCGTTGAAGCATGGGATCTCCGAGCGGAACTTGTCAAGGATGCGCTTGGCGTTATGGAGGCCGAAGTCCTCACTGAAGAGACGGTCAGCCTAGCCCAAGTTCTGCAGACGATGGCGACCTACAAATGAATATATGCCTTTGGAAACTTCTTCTTTGCGACTGTCACGAAATTTTCCACAAACCGGTCATACTCTTCTCCCCTGACGCGCGGCTGTCGAAGTCCCAGGTATAAATCGTCCTTGAGCAAGGATTCATTCTGGCGCCGACATAAGTATATTGTTGGGCGATGATGGAATCGACTTACATCGGTCCCGCAGTCTAAGACGACTGGAAGCTGCCGCGAAGGGTGGATTCCCGCACAGATCGTTGTCAATGCCAACTTGGCGACTGAGATCAAAATGGCACCTACACCTTGGTCTCCAATGCCCAGAATCTGAAATAGATGTCAGTTGCGCGTTCTGGCCACCTTTAGCAGCTATTTATCTACTTACCTCCTCCCCGTCACTGACGACGATATAGTCAATCTCCTCACTGCCTTCGAAATTGGAAAGACACTCCTCAATCTTCTCCTGCTCTTTGACATTCAGGAAGCACCCTTCGGGCTTCCTGAACAGACGCGAATAGTTCTGTATCGCGTCGCCTTCAGTTGGCGTGTATATGATACTGAGCATTTCTTTGAGATGAGTCTCCAATAACTTTTTGAGCATTAGCCAATGATGTTGCTCACGTGGATTGAGATATATCGATACACGAGAATGGGGTTGAATTTTTGGGACCCTACCTTGTAGTACAGAACCTCATTCTGCTGCTTCATACTAGCCATGAAGGTGTTCTTCGCGATATCACTTTCCCGGCTGCTGTATTGCTCATAGGCTCGCTGGACCTGCTCCTCCAACGTCTGAACGTTGGGGGGGAGCAGGCCTAGTAGTTTGAATGCCCGACGTTCGTCCTCCGGGAAGGAAGATCCTTTGTTGAACTGACAGGACTCTAGGAGGTCTCTACCCTACCCAGCAGAGTCAGCATCCTCAACTTACTAGATGCGTAGCGCGCGATGTTATTATAAGCCAAGAGCGTGCAATACCTCATGAGGACACACCAAGGGGCCCTCGGCAGCGCGGGGCAGATGGCTGAACTTGGAATGCTTGTTTGATGCAGACATCTTAGGTGTATGCTGGGAGAATAGACGGCGACACTGTGGTGACAGGGGAAATGACAGTCGTGAGGTTTTTAAGATCGAAGGTCTCCTGGCCATTGAGGGGGACTCAAGAGTTGGAGATCAGCTTAGGAGTAATTACGATTGTGATTGACCCTGGGTGATAAGGGAAGCTTAATATAGCTGGGCATATGATGCAAGACGCCGAGACTGACCGTTAGAAACCGGCTAGCCGAGCGCTAATAATACTCAAGCTTGTATGTATGTATGTCTGTACAGAACAGGCCGACATGGCTACATTACATTTGCACACCGGGGTGTTTTTTTTTTTTCTTTTTGGTGAGGAGTGGGGGATGCGAAACATTTGCTATCACCATGATGATGATAATGACGTAGTCAATGTCTCTCGGGCGAGGATTGATTCACAGTAAAGTCAACATGACTACAGCCCTATTCCACATTTATTAGTGGATAATCGCCTGTACTAAGAAATGCTTGTCGAGAATCATGGAAGGGATCATCCATGTATGAACCATATTAGGAAGACCCTGCTAGTTGTGTAGAATTAAGCATTTGGACAGGTGCATAGGAAATTACATAGTACTGACTAAGGTACCTTGGTTTAGACGCCAGGTTGATCTTTGAGCCTAATAGCAATAAGGTATCACCCTGCCTCCAAGAGGGCTTACTTACGTAGTAGTACATAGTACGGGTACTAAAGGTGGTTAACCCCTTTACTTGCCTATTTATTTCCCGTGCTTTCCACATCGGTGGAACCGGGACTGTGATCAAATCTTGGTTCAGAGGGGAAATGATGATTGCTGATGTCAGGATGTTTTCCATACCTTATCTCTGATCGGATAGACGGCCCGGTCGCCTGCTGACTCACCTCTTTAAGCGAGCCTTTTCCCCTCTTCCGTCTCCTCCCTCCCTTCAAACCAACCAACAACAAAAATAAAGACCCAATCACTCGCACGAGCATCGCGTCTTCTCGCCTTCATGCCCTCTCCGCCATTCCACCATTCGACCATTGGTGGTGCCATGCGACGTGCCATACGTCTATACTACATCAATCCATAATATCTGCCTACTGACTATCTCAAAAAGACTGTTAATGTGCAGTTATTAGACAAGTTCGGCTCATCGTTGTCGCAACGTGCGGCGTCACAAACCCCCAGCTTCGAAACTGAACGCCTGATGGTGTTTGGTCGCCGATTGAGCAAGGGGAATTCTAACTTGTACTATATCTGCAACTTTGCAATCCAGCTGTCTCGCATCGATCGTTGTATTTCACGCCTCCGGGCTGAAACAGAGCGTTTGAGCATCTCCTACGGACTCTCTTGAAGAACAGTCATCGCATGTCACGTCCTGTGGCTGTGGCCGACTGGAGCTGGATTGTTGGGACTCCTGCTCCCTCATCTGAAATATCAGATGAATTGTTGCTAGAGAAAGTCCCCAGGGCCTTCATAGTTCATGTTGCTTGCGTGTTTCACTTCCTACGAGAGCATGACTCCTTGCGCACCTACATTATCACACAGCCGTCTTCCGATAGTTATTATCAAGAATTTACATAGCCTTTCTCATATTGCTCCCAAGATATACCTCCTACTCACCTCTGGTTAAGTTTTAATGTAAGGTAGAGACGACTGGACTTCGGCTGGTGGTCCTCTGCACTCAGAGCTTACTCTTGCCCGCTTCGGCCTCATCATCAATGACCTTCACCACCACCTTTCCCCAGGTTTCTCTTCCACCCAGCGCCTGCAATGCGCGGGGAACACTCTCTAGGCCCACGAAGGTCTCGTCCTTGAAGGCAGTGCCCCTGAACTTCCTTTGCGCGACGAGGTCGAAGATGCCGGCCCAAACGGACTGAACCGTCTCCTTCTCGAACTGGGCGTACTGGCCCCAGTGCAATCCGACCAAACTGACATTCTTGAGCAGCACCCGGTTCAACGCGACCTTCTCGATCTTGCCCGCCGCGAATCCGATCACCAGCAAGCGCGCGTTCCACGCGACACACTTGAGGCTGGCCTCAATCAGTCCTACAGGGTCATAGACAATGTCGACGCCCACCTTGCCGTTTCCCGTACGGTGTTGCGCGCACAGTTTTTTGACGTGGTCCGGCCAGCTCTTGTCGCGGTAATCGACGACGTGGTCCGCGCCGAACTGTCGCGCGATCTGCCGCTTCCGCTCGGTGCTGGCCGTCGCGATCACCGTCGCCCCCTTGGCTTTGGCGATCTGCACGGCGGCCAGACCAACGCCGCCGGCGGCCGCATGCACCAGCACCCACTCACCAGCCTGGACGTTTGCCCGGTGAACGAGGGCCCCGTAGGATGTCGGGGCCGTAACAAAGAGACCAGCAGCATCCTCAAAAGTCCAACCGCTAGGGATAGGTAGCAAGGATGGTTCGGGAGCGAGGACGTGAGTGGCGTAGGCACCCTGCGTTGCGCCGAAGACTCGATCGCCAACAGCGAACCGTGGCGGCGTTGTAGGAGAGGTGGGCACGGCCAGCACTGTACCCGCAAACTCCGAACCTCCGACCCAGGGTAGGGGAGGCTGATGTTGGTATTTGCCTTGAATTTGTAGGATGTCGAAGAAGTTGGTACCCGCCGAGTGTATCTCAATCAGGTAGTCCGTCGGAGACGGGGAAGGGGTAGGAAGTGTAACAACTCCGAGTTCCAGAGGTCCCTTGGTTGTTGGCAGTCAGTAAAGTTATACGAGCGCTTGACGAGAGACTGGGCTCATATACCTTCACATAGTCGGTGACCTGAATGGCCCTCATGATGGTAGTCGAATGGCTAAATTCTTGATGCGTCACTAGTACTATTTGGGTGACAAGGGGTGTGTTCGGTAAAAACCAGTAACCGGGACCTGGAAGCAATCTCAATCGCCAAAATAACGCTAATTCGTATGCTATACTCTTCTGTTGGCAAATGGAAACTTGAGTCCAGGCAAGGTGAGTTGCAGACGGGAGAAGGGCGCGGAAGGAGGAGGAGGAAGGTGAGAGACAGCTCAGCTCGGGCTCTCCCTGGATGTGCCGAGGTCCGTCTTCGGATATTGTTCCAGCACAGGCCTGCTCGGCGGCATCTTGCACTCTTCCATACCGTACCAGCATCTTGGCGAGTATTCTCGAGGACAAATTGCCGATTGGTTTAACAGGGCAACATTCTAGGAGAAGAAAGATTATATAGAGCTGGAGTTCTCGGAAGTTTGAGCTCGCTAGATTAAGAACTAAGTAGATTGCGTACAGTACATACATACATCCCATAATGAAACATTCATAGTGGCGTTTGTCTGGCCGTCAAGGCTGCAGATCTCCTCCCTCCTCCTCCCAAAGAAAAAAAAAAACAAGGTACACCAGCAGGCCTAGTATATATGACCCATTTAATGCGAAATAAGAGACTTCCATCCCAGAGTTCCATTGTCGAGAAACCCCTCGATACGTGCGCCCCCGAACTCCTTCGACCCGTAGTGGATATCATTTGAACCAGTACACCTCACCCCATGCATCGGTACTACCAGCCGATACGCCAGGTATCGGATTCCCTTGTAGACGTGATACCGATCCAACTGCCCAATCCCTCATCTATACCACATAGACAAAGGAGAAAAAGGGAAATGAATACAGAATAAGAAAGCAAGGCAGAAAATTAGGGCAGCAAAACAGAAGAAAGTGACGTAACCATGAAGACACAACGTGCGACTCCAATGCGCGAAGCCGCACGGAATAGGAAAGATCACCAAAAGTCATTCGGAACTCGGATGAGATGAGACCTTGACCACAGCCCGGATATCTTAGAAGTCGATACTGGGTGGTCGATGAACAAGAGTCTCAGTCCCCGGATAGGTATAGATAGGTGCACACATCGCGGAATGCTGCCCGTGAGGGAAGAACGAGGGCGGAGGGGTCATTAAGCCCATGTTATGCTGACTTGTGGCCTTGGAAGGGAGTGATGCCTTTCTATCCAACGCTGTCGACTGCATGCCCTTCTGTTCCAGTCTCGGATGACCGCCAGCGGTATCCTGGACATAAGGAGCAGACATGGTACGCTTCCATAATTGCGCGCCATCGTCGTGTAAGTCAGACAACTGCTGTCTTGAGATATTGGCTGTCGGTGGCGTTTGTGGTGTGAATACCCGCTGTGGCCCGGGAGGAGACATCAGGTGCATAGCAGGGTCGATCGGAGGACTCAACGGTGCTGAGCTATAGAAAGGCATCGGGGGGGATTGGGCGCCAGGCGCCATAGGCATCGAATACCATTGAGGGATTGACCATTGAATTGGAGCAGCTGGGGCCGACGATGACACGGGTGTTTGCATGCAAGACTCGGTGGTGAAGCCATAAGCATGTTCCTGGAAGGTGGGTGCCAAACTCGCAGTCGGATTGACCATCACATCTTCGAGCAAGGGCGAAGTCGTCGAAGCATGAGAAGGATCCCTGTGCTTGTTAGGCTGGTTCAATGGTGATCGTTGCGCCAGTACAGGGGCCCAGGCGTGATCGAGGGGAACTGTGACCGGCAGCTCTCCTGGTGGTGCAAAAGACCCATTCATGAACCAATCTGATTCGGACACAGAAATATCCGTTGCAGTCGCATGAGACTTGGGAGAGACAATGGCAGCTTGATGCTTGGGAGAGCCGCCCTCACGGCCACTGTCCTCGCCGGACCCCTCTTGTTGACTATCGTTCGACTTCTTGCGGGTTTGGCGGGAAGGCTTGGTGACCCGCCATTTCTTCAATCTGCTCCGCAACTGGGTTTCACTGAAAATGAATGACGGTATTAATGCATTGTAATTTCATGGGTACTGTAAAGAACAAAGCTCACCTTGGATTGAAGTCGTCGGAACGGATCTTCTTAATCACCTGCTTCAACGGCCACTCCTCATCCTTGTACAGCTGAGCGATAAGGGCCTTCTTCCTCTCCCACACATCAGATGGAATCGAGTTCTTCATTTCTGCTCTTCTGGCGAGGCACTCTTCTGGAGGTTGATTGGGAAAACTGAGCCAAGTTCAAGAAAAGGTGAAGCTCTTCTCTTGAAACGGGCTATGGGAGCAGCCCGATAAGTGGAAGTTTGTGTGAAGCGAGATACACCTGAAGGAAGGTCGAGTAAGTCAAGGAACTTGAGCAGCAGCCAACGAGAGATCGATGAGATGGGATTAGTGAAAAGAAAGTGTCAGGTCTCGGTATAGCGGAGAAAGAACGAATGCCAGGAGCGGATGCGGGAACAGAGTGGATTTGGACAGGGCAGTGGTCTGATAGTTATAAGTACATGAATATTAGACTAACTACCTAGTATTCAGAGGGGGGAGGGGGCAAGTGGGTGGGGATGGTTAGGACGGAGGTAACTGATTTGCAAGATAGGCTTAGTGGTTGGAGACAGCCGTACCAGAGCATGGTTTAAGGTACGGAGCAAAGGTCCTAGGATGGAAGAGACCGTGAACCACAGGTGTATCAAAATCCTGAAGTCAGGAAAGGTACTAAAAGTCTAAAAGTAAACGGGGGAGGGGGACGAGGTGGAGTCCACGCTGGAGAAAAAGATGCCATGGTGGAGTAGGGAAGGATTGACTGAAAGCCCACATGATGAAGAACAGAACAGAGCAACAAGAGCAAAGTGGAAGAAGGCCCTAGTATGGAGTCCAAGGCGATATTGGTGGCGGAAGGATAGCAAAGGGACCGGGGAGGAATGGAAGGGAATTGGAGCTGACGGAGGAAAGCTCGTGCCCATCTGGACAAACGAACGCATGGGAGATCGACGCTGCCCAAGGAACGGGCATCAAACCTCAGATGGTGATTGGGAGCCAAGGCGGGTGGAGATCTCCCTCTCGGCCGGACTTCTTTCTTCTAAAAGGGTTTTTTTCCCCCCCCTGTTTTTTTACTTTTGCCTTTTTTTCTTTTTCTTTCATCTCCCTTTTTCTTTTTCTTTTTCTTTTTTTTTTTTTTCAAAAAAAAAGATTGTTCGAGGGATGGCGGTGATGGTCATGGAGATTCACGGATGGTACGTCCATTGTCTCGGGTCCTGTCACTCCCTCAATGCGCAGGAGCATTGGGCCCTGCAAGTAAGCTTTCTGGGTCGATCCCCGGTTCTGACTGACCCCCCGGTAACGGACTGTACGAGCAACAGCCGAAGCTGAGGACGAGGACGATGCTGAATTGAAGATGTCGGGGCCGATCTAGGACGAAGGCGGACCAAGAGACAGCGAAAAGACATGGAGCAACAATCGCTGCCTGCTTATCGCAGTGGATGACTTACTGCTACATGCCATTCGTTCTGTGAACCGTACAATATAAGGATAGGAAAAAGTACAGTAGTTGCATTTCTGCCAGGTCGGGTGTCCTCTGATTATGCAGTAGTGAGATTGTTGAATCGACAAATCACCCGATGCGCTTATCGCATCTCTCTCGCACACCTGATCTCTGTGCCTGCTGGTTTGCTTCATAGTTTGCTTGATAGTCCTTGAGATGTGTCATTTGAGTACCCGTTGCCTCCCCCTCTACAAACCAGTGGGACGGATGAATAAATCCAGCAGCCTTTGAGTTGTCACTTCATTCGGCACTTAGTGGAATAGCACCACCATTGTTCCACGTCAAACTGGCGGATCTCTCTGTCAGCTCTTCATAGTCATGCTCGCCTTTTCGCTCCTGTTGGCTTGATTTATCTAGCGCATACAAGAATTTTTCCCCTCCTGATAGTTTATTGGTTACTTGGTTACAAAAATCCAGATCGAGTGAGAGATTAATCCTCGACAAGCACTATGAGAGATTTAATCCCAGGCCAGAGATCGATCTCGATGAGATAAGAATAGGTAGAAAACAAAATTGAGGAAGTAGGGCAAGGGTAGCTGTCCAGTTAACAGGGATTGAGTGAGCCATGAAACAATCGCGTGTGCACATTCAATGTGAACCAGACCATGGCACTAGCAGGCACTTTGTTCGCCATCAAGGGCGATCCCTCTAGGCCGCTTAGCGGGGTCGGGGCCTTGGATCTTGTCCCTCTGACCCTAAGAAGTAGGGAAGGATCCATCCCTCCCCAAGCATCAGGAGAACTAAACCACTGCGAGACCTTGGCGCATCTGTCGAACTGCCCGATTGGGATAAGGCAGGTATATGAGAAATGCAAAGAGGCATTTCTGTCTCTCCGACCGCCTGTATAGAGTGTAGACACTGCACCGAGGACCGATTGGAGATCTTCACTAGTCTGAGATGCGCCTTGGGGGAGCGTGGGTGGGGACGACAGATGGGAGGATATCATGAGCTTACTCTTAATGCCATGCACGGTTGACACGACAATGGAGACCTTGACTCTGGTGTAGCACGAGTTTGACGGTCTGATCTCCGATTCCCGAGTGAAGGATGAAACTCGAGAATACAGAGATTGACACTGCAATCTGACCCATGTTTTCCATGACCTCTAATTGACTACTTATGTGGATAATTACCATGAATTCTGATAGGATACGTGTAGGTCCTGTACTATGCTGCCTTATTCTGCACAGCCAGCACCATGTACAGTACAGTACAAAAGCACGCTGGCGATGGGATCCACGACGACCTACCCAGAGTTCCTGTGGAAGTCTAGAACTCTGGTTGCTTGACAAAAACAGCAACCCTGTTCTTTCCAATTCGGGGCAAGCTCGAGAAGGTCGGTCGAAACAAAAATCATGGAGTGCAGTGTAGGTAATAATTCATTGAAGCGAATGAAGTCACGGATACGTTGACAGGCTCTCCAGGCTTTCATTTGCCTATTGCCTGATGTGAGAGAATAAAATCCTGCTATAGCTAGGTCTCAGCTAGGGTCAAATCACGCATGCATGTATGTCATGTCGATGGACTCGGCTAGTGTGCGTAGTCTTTCTATGTACATGCAGTAATAAAGCATCATCCTGTGGCTATTTTCATCATCATCATCATCATCATCTCCTCATCACTATTCCTTGAGATTTATCAATTTAATCTATTTAGCACAGAGATGAGCAGAACCAAGGAATTGATGGCGCTCCTTGGGAACCACAATTCAAACAGACTCTGGCCGTTGAAACCCTGTTAGGGTTCGATCGGCTTCGAAAGAGAGTCTATGCCGATTTTCGGCCCATTTGGAACTGACTCGGATGAAAGGACGATTGCAAGTGACTTTGGCTAACACCTGAAGGGCAAACGCCCCGGAGGAAAGCATCGACCAGGCCAACCTTCTAATCCACTCCCGGGGGGGAGAAGGGGATAATTTGGGGAGGGGCAAAGGAGAAGGTAGGTTATGTGGTTCACACTAGACTATCGATTCCGCTGACTGACCAGTACTCCGTACCTTACTGTCTGTGCCTGCCAGGCGACGAAAAGGTAGTGGTGCGCCGGACTAGAGCCCTTCAGCCCCGAAGCCACAACTACGAACCAGACTACAGACTGGACTTATTCTTCTCCACTTGCGCCTACCGGAATCAGCTCCGCTACATTATTCTTCTGGTGGAGATCTATCCAAATTACTCATACTCGGACCGCTACTGATCGATCTGGAGAGGCAGTGGGCAAGAGCAAATCAGTGTCGTGCTGGTGGATCTCCCGCTGATCTTCGCCGAGGAAACCTCGATAGTCTCGTCTTCCGGGATTCCCCCAGTCTACGTCTATTCAAGTCCGTAGGAGACACCGTCGGTCTGTCAAGCGTGCCAATGCATAGCAATGGCGTTCAGTTTTTATTCTTCGCTCTCTACCAACACAATTCCTGAAAGGGGCAGTCCATCTCTTGGAAAGCTTTATTGTGAGTAAGTGGCTCGGAACTTGACTTTCCTGGACTCGATCTAACTATAACTTACAGTGCGGCGGTCCGCGGTCCGCGGTCTGGCATTCAGCCCTCTCTCTCTCTGGTGTGAGTAGATTGACGTCGATCAATTTTAGTTACTGCTTTCGGATACGTCATGCTAAAATCTGGCTGTTTACTGCAAACCCCGGATGGCATGGTCGACCGAGGCGGTTTCAAGTGGGATTGGACGATACCTTCTGGCTTCAGCCTTTAATTTACCCCCGACAAGCGACCGATCACATTCGTCCCCTCGTGCCTGCAGCCAATTCCACACGGGGATTCTGTTTTCTCTTCGGGGTTCTCTCCACTCTGCTTTGCTGCAGGTGTCTAATTTAGGAGCGCGTAAATAACTACAGCGTATGAAAGCGCTGATAACCGAAGAATCCACGCAGCGGAATACTCCTCTTGGTCGCAGATTGAGTGTTTCTAAATCAGATGCAACCACCTTTGTGCTTACTATCCCTTCCTTTTACATGAACAGGTCTAGCCTACTCCATACGTAGTAGTGTCGTAACTACTAGGTAGCTCTTGAACGAAGTACAGTACAAAGATACCTGTGGGTGGGCAAGTATGCTATGCTCGTTACGCCGATGATTTTCACCCGCCCATCACTATGGGTGGAGGCCGGGGATGTATACTAAAGTACGTACGGAGCAGTTAACGTGACAGAAGATTGTACTTACAAACACTTCCCTAGCCTAGGACGACTCTCCGACTTGCAGCAGCTGATGAGACAGCCAGAATTGCAGGCATCCCTGTGCGTCAACCAGTCACATCACATTACATTACAGTAATTAGGAGCACTGGTCCTGCATGTCAAATATGTTGGTCAATCAAGCAAAAGTTGACAGGTCGTTGTCACTGATGCTTCACAGCAGAGAAGCTGATGGTTACATATAATCGCAGTCTCACAGAATAGATGGTTTAGATAGGTGTGGTTAATTAAGTCACTTGATGTTCAATACGATTAGTGTACATATGGATCGAAAATCCAGAGAAACAAGATCGCAGCTGTGGAAGTCCTGACAATCCGCTGTGACTGATAGTTCTCGATTATCCAAATTAACATGTAAGAAAGTTGAGTTGGTCATTATCTACTGTCCTTAACCATCTTGATGCCCAGTTAGCGGGTAGACTCGATCTTGCTTACACTGCCTTTCAGCATATCCCTCCTCCCCTGCTTTTCTTCTGAGTGTATGCACCCGCCTCTCCGCACAGTGACTCAGATAACTCTCCTTGGGTGGTGGCGTCAACGACCAGTTTTTGATCATCCGTGCCATCCGTAGCGACTTCCGAGAGTCCGTCATCCGAGCGTCCGATATCCGAGATACCGAACCGCACCGAAGAGCCCATCAAGTCGCCTTTGCTTTTCCTTTGGTAGACCATGACCGGTATGCTGAATAACAAGCTATGAGCTGCAACGTGCAAACGTTGGAGTCAGAAGCCAACGACGCCGACTGATTGCTCGCAGCACATCCTCCGCGACCCATTGTTAGAACCGTTTCAGCATTGCATTTGTCCGCGGAGAAGCTGAAAGGCCTCATTCAGTGGCCGTTGAGGACGTCCCATGGTCTCAGTTACGCGCACGTGGGCAATTGGATGATGCGATGGGTGGATGGCACTTGCCGGCCTTCTCAGGGCAATCAATGTATTGTACAAAGCATAGGATGTGAAATTTGACTGAGGCGATTGTGCATATACTGGATTTCACTGACTGTTCTCAAGCCATGCCTTGATGATCACCATCAGCCGTGGCCTACTCAGTACATCTCTTTCTGGCTTTTCCGGCGGGAAGTGCAACCGACCTCGGAAGTCACTGGACAACCGAAGTAACTCCGACGATTGCAAATCTCTCAAACAAGGCAAAGGAGAGGGGGCAGGTTGGTTGTTCCAACTTTCAACAGATCGAAGGACTCTCTCTCTCTCTCTATGTACATAGTACTAACGTAGCTAGCTAGCTAAGCGCACGGTTTAGATAGGGATCATCCGCTACGAGATTACCTGAGAAGTTATTCTTTGCCTACAAACCGCCTAATTTTAGCCCACTCTGTGAACTATCATCGGTCATCAGGTCATCAGCCATCACTGTCATTTTCCGCCTTGCCTGACCTGAAGAAGCTGACCCAGTTCATGCTCATTCCCGAGATGGAAGATCTGCCTTGCAGATCCTCGCAGGGATCAGTCCATTTCTCGCCCCGTACTTGACTTCCACCAAGTTGCCCTCCCTCTATTACCTCTTTGGGATGAGTTCATGCTTCTCACTCCATTGAGAACGTGAATTGACTATAGTCTTGTAGCATCGAAATGGCTAAGCTTCCGATTTGATGTACAATACAGTACATATGAGTATTCTGTAGGTAGTAGTATTCCAACCCAGGTCCCTCAAGACCAGCAAGCACCTTTAGGACCTCGGAGCGACTATCCCTTTCCGTTTCCAAGCTTAACGGTGTAGACTCTCCCCACCCTCCTTCTTCCCCAGAGATTTGTCCGGTTCCCCGAACCTAACCTCAGGGAGGGAAAAGCCGCTTGTTTTTTCTGGGATCGCATGCAGACTCGTACAAACAGATCTATCTGGATATGCACTGGTCACTACTGCACAGCAGATCACTAGTGCAGTATCGGCGTGGAGTTAGGCGCGTTTATACAACAGTAACAATGCCACCTCCTCCTTCCGACATCATCATCATCATCATCTTCTTCTTCTTCTTCTTCTTCTCATCCTCCTACATAGAGTTTGAACCGAGGACTGGCCTTAACGGGCGTTTTTCCTGATTCGGAATACGCTGAAGATTCGATGGCTTAGTTAGTACCTATGGATGGCTACTATGGCTGCCCCCTCCCAGTCGTGCCTTGTAGGTACCCCGTTTGTAGATGTCGATTCATCCACCTGCATGTTCCGTTTCTTGACCTTTGCCGACTGCAGACAAGGCGTTAGTCACCTATTGCTGTTTCCCAGAGCTCCAACTCATCTCAGCCAATCATCTATAACTCGGTATCGGTGGTAAAAACCAAACCCCAGGTTGTTGTTGCTGTTGTTGCTGTTATTGCTGCTGTTGATCAGTGGAACTCCCCAAGGTCACAAGTCAGGTGAACGGAGATGGAGTGGTGGATGGATGTGATAGGCTTGATCAATTTTCCTCCATGCCACCCTATCGATACGAAGTCAAAACCATGAGCTTGGAGACAGCCGTTGTACCGAGCGCGTGGCAGTCTTTCTGGTACGACTCCAAATGGTTCCAGCTTTCGGCTTGGAAGCTCAACCAACAGGTTTAACCTTGATTGTGATTGTGTCCCGATCACGCAACGATACAACCCAACCCAACACCAGGGTCCTCACTTCGCACTGGTCCATTTGGTTCTCCGTACTCCGTAGTACCTACTGGTAGTTTCTGCACAATGTACTGTAATCATTTCTCTGGGATCGGTAATCTGGGGCTTCCGAGAGTACGGTACCTGGCTCAATCTCGGGAACACTCCCTCTCTCCCTTCCCCCCCTCCTCCCCATTCAGTCCCTTCCCTCCCCTCTGAATCCATGGTAATACCCGCCACTCAACTTGACCTCCCGGGCAAGGCTAATGAGTCTATTCAGTCTAGTGAGTGATATAGCTAGAGAGCTAGAGTGGGCGATCATCCTCATCTCCCAGACTAGTTCGATACCTTAACCCAATGGACATCCTCCGTCATTATAACCATAACCATAAACACAAACATCGACATCGACATTGACATTGACATTGACAATCTAGAATCAGCAACATCGCGAGACTTTCCAAGGCTCCTCCTGACGATGGGCTCGAATTACATTCCCTCATCATCGCCATCACACACGGAATGAGACAAACAGTGCCAACTCGTAACTGCTTTTTTCTCCTGCCTAATGTGACAAGTAGCTGCAAACGCACGCGGGCCTGGAATTGCACATGTTTCACAAATAAACTTTCAGTACGGGGTACTGTACACGCCGGTGGATCAAAACTCTACGATAGCCCTCTCAGGTCGATCTGGTCTCTGCCCCTCGGCCCCCCCTCCCCCTCGCCCTCCTCCTCGGATATTGTTTTGTCTGGTGCACCACCACCTAGCAACTCCACATCAAGTTTAGCGAGACAAAAGTCGGAGCCGGCAAAAACTCAAAATTTGCTGAGGCGCAAGTATACTAGGCTAGGCCGTTGCATCCATCCATCCTGTCGGCAATCTTTCAATATACTTCTGAAACAGGACAATACCCCAGGGACTGCTGCCCCTTGCTGGCTGGTTACCCGGAAGTCTCTGACTCGAGGCTGTAGACAAGAGGGTCTAGGGACCCACGAGGAAGGGGGGGGGGGAGGGTCCAACGGATGTCTGATCTGTCCATCGGGCAACAGAATGGCACCTGGTCTAGCTCCTCCACGTCCAGTAGTGTGCTGGCTTGATATGACGCTATGCGCACGCTACCAAAGGGGGCCTCTGCCAGTCGGTCAAGTAGACAAATCGGGCTTAGAGGAGGGTCTGTGAAAAGTAATTTGTGATGATAAGGAGGAGGAGGAGGCGGAGTCTGGGAGTTCATGGAATACTGAGAATAAGACACATTTGATAACGAGGTCGACCCTGGCCTTTGGCTCAACCCACCCCCCGAAACAAATCGTCCGGGTTTGGCTGACTATTCTATCTTCAGAGCCGAGGCTGGATCGAAGACTCTCTTTCAATGGTAAAACACCATCTCGCGACGGTCTAATCAATTTACTTACACAGCCGTCGCAGGTAGGAAGAAAGAAACATATATGAAGGATAGGAATGGTGCGTATGAACAATTGTAATATAACACGAACGAAGGAAAGAAAGCCCAACCAACGGACATCTACATGAAGATTCCCCTGTCTTGTATGTGTGTGTGGGTGTGTGTGGGTTCGGCCTTGTTTTTCCTTTCCAGTTGTTTCCTAGATATATCAAACAAGACGCCCGCTAGATTCCAGCCCTTTCATTTCACCGCCTGGCTGGTATACAAGAATTGTGAGAGGAGAAAAGGGGAAAGGGACAAAAAAGAAAAGAAAAAAAAAATAGGGGGGAAACGGAAAATTTAGACAGAGAAAAGCCTAGCAAATCCTGGGTGCTGTGTTCTGAAACACACATGTGTAGATAGAAGGTAGAAGTCATTGATGTCAAAACACGCAAACACATACACTTGGGACATTTGCGTGTCCGCAGTCGCCTTCAAACTGCCCGCGCCCTCCCGCGCGCCCCCACCCCCCATCTCCAAATCTCAAACCTTTCCGCCTCAACGACGTCGCTTCCGAAGACGGTGCTCTTTACCTTTCTTGGACTTGGATTTGCTCTTGTCTGCGGGTAGGACAAGCGGCTCGTCTTTCATATTCCACTCCATAAACCGAAGCAGGTAGTCGTCGACATGGCCGAACTGGGCCTCGACGTCCACAGATTCGTCCACCGCGTGAATCTGAGGCGAGGTCAGAAGTTGCGGCCCGGGAGTACCTGAGGCTGCACCACCTTCGTCCGGTCCATTGGAAAGCCGCGGAGTCGCGAGCGGTGTCCCGGCCTGCGTCTGGCCAGGAGTTCGGTCATCGAAGTCGCCGTCGTCAGCGTGCTCCAACTCCTTCTGGGCATTCTTAGCCGCGTCGATATCTTCTTTGTCTTCCGCTTGTTCGAAGACCCGAGCACTGCCGGAGACCCGATTCTCGAGCACCCGATCCATCGCAGCGCTGGCCTCATCCTGACCCTCGAGCACGTCCTCGCTGCTGATCATGTCGCGCACGTCCAGCTTGGTAAAGTAGTCGGTGGTGAACTCACCCTCTTGGATGACCACGTCGTCCAGCATCCGCTTCTGATTGGCTTTGCGAAGAATGTTGGACTCAATCGTGTACTCCGACACGAACCGGTAGATGTGAACGTCGCGAGTTTGTCCAATACGATGGCAACGATCCTGGCACTGCTTGTCCATAGCCGGGTTCCAGTCCAAGTCATAGAAAATCACGGTGTCGGCGCCGGTCAAGTTGATTCCCAAACCACCGGAGCGGCTGGATAAGATGAATGCCAGAATGCGGTTGTCATTGTTGAACCGATCAGTGAGAATCTGACGCTGCTCAACTTTGGTGGTGCCGTCCAGTCTCAAATAGCGGTGACCATGAATGTTAAGAAACTGTTCCAGGATATCGAGCATCTTGGTCATCTGCGTGAAAATCAGGGCCCGGTGTCCGCCCGCTTTGAGGTCTCGGAGTAGCTTATCGAGTCGTTGTAGCTTGCCGCAGTCGTATTGCAGAAGTCTCTTGTCCGGAAAGGCGATTGATAACCGCATTTGTGCCTCATGAAACGGGTCATAGGGTGGGAAGCGTTCTTTATTGGTAAGGTGACGGGTTTCGATGGGGGTCAAGGCTGCCGCAGTGACTCCGGAAGCAATTGCTGCAGGGGTCACACAAGCAAAACGCTGGACGTAGCCATCCATCACCTGGGACCGTTCTTCAATGGACAAGATCATCGATGCGAGAACGGATGAGCGGCTTGACAGCCAATCAGCCAGGGAGCGTTTCCGCAACGGTCCATTGGTGGTTGGCCGCTGCTTGCTGTCCGCCGTGAGGAACTCGATTAGACTCGATCCGTATACAGGGCGGCGACCGTGCCGTTTGGATTCAAAGTAGAGACACCGCTCTAGTTCCGCCATCCTCCTCTTCCTGGACTCATTCTCCAAAGCATCTAAGGTTGATTGCACACTTGAGCCGTCGAAGATCATCTGCCAGTTGGTGCGATGATACTGCTGTTCGCGTAGCGTGTTGAACGGACCATAGGCCATGAGCCTTGTACTGTCGTCCGCTAACCTGCGAGAAATATCCTCGCGCGAGATGGGAACCAGGTTGAGGAAATCCAGGTCAAGTTTGGTGAGCGGATGTTCATACAACAAACGCCGGCGCACAAGAAGATCCTTGATCTCGTATTCAGTGGCCACAGAGCGTGGCATTGCAAACGAGGTCGAAATAGGACGTGTCTCAAAGAGATCCGGATGATTGCAAACTTTCCGCAGTTGCATCAGGCAATTGATGATCGAAAGGTAGTTACCGGAAGCAAGAGTTTCCTTTGTCTGGGCCCTAGACATAAATCCATCATACAAATAACGTTGGCGCTTGGAGAGCCTGCAGTAGACAACATGTTCGTATTTTGCTGGCATTTGCTTCTCAACATCGGCCTTGAGGCGACGCAAGATGTACGGCCGCAAAACAGTGTGAAGTTTGGTGACGACTTGTTTTGCTTCGTCATCCATTGTCTCTCGACCATGTTCCAAGATCTGCTCGACTGGACGTCGGAACCACTCGGAGAAGTTCCTCAGATCTGCAAATGCTTCCATGCCCTCCTCATCACTATCTGACGGCATCAGGAAGAAAAGCAAGGACCATAGTTCAGTCAAATTGTTCTGAAGTGGTGTTCCAGTGAGGAGGAGGCGAGCCCGAGTCCTGAAAGTAAGCAGCGCTTGCCACCTCTGAGATCGGAAGTTCTTGATGTTATGAGCTTCGTCTAGAATCATGTAATGCCAGCTTCTCCTCTTTAGCACTTGCTGGTCTTGTAAGACAAGCTGATACGAGGTGATCAGGACGTTCCAACTGGTATCATCCATCCAGCCTTTGCGCTTTTGCCGACGTTCCTCTTGATTGCCATAGTAAGTCATGATCTTAAATCCAGGGCACCATTTCTTGAACTCCATTTCCCAGTTGAGGATCACACTCGTAGGGACAACCACTAAGTGAGGACCCCAGACTTCATGCTCAACAGCCAAGTGTGCCAGCAAAGCTATTGTTTGGATGGTTTTGCCGAGACCCATCTCATCAGCAAGAATCCCATTGATTTGGTTTGTGTAGAGGCCAGCCAGCCAGTCTAAACCAAAGTGTTGATATTCTCGCAGAGTCCCTCTAAGCAGATGTGGCACGGGGGTCTTCAAACCAGGTGCTGACGATTCGCTGGCCGGTAGCTGCTGTTCAGACGTTTCATATGACGAAACAGATTCCGGTTCTGAGGGTTTCGTGGCAATCGTGCCCGGAGATGCTTCACTGGACGGCTCCTTGCTTGGGAAACCATTCAATTCAGAGTGGTCATTACCCTGTGCACCATCAGGTCGAGGTAGCAATTCAGGTTCAACCACCTCATCTGGGGTTTCGAGGGCAACAAGATCTGTCATCTCGAAGTCTGGCGTTGTCTTCTCACCAGGAGTGGACCCAAGCATGGGTTCAAAAGCAGGCCCGGGGGATAGGCCAGGCGCAGGGGAAGTTTGGGGGGGCTCGGGTGATGGGAGTGAGTCTTTTGCAGGTCCGTTTGGTACGAGAGAGACTTCGTCAGGGTCTTCCGACTCCTCATCTTCCTCCTCACCAGCAGATGCTATTTTTGCATCGGTTTCTAGGTCATAATCAGAGGTAATTTCGTCGCCATCGCTATCTTGTTCCAGGGCAATATCATTAGCCGAGAAGAACCCCAACAACCCAGGCCCATTATTAAGCTCCGCTTCGGACTCCACCTCGTCAGATTCATCCCCATCATCGCTGCTGCTCATGTCGTCATCATCCATATCAGTAGACTCGTCTTCACTGTCATCCATAAGCACTGGGTCAACTTCCTCGAGTTCGATATACTGATCAGATCGGGCTTCTGTGGGCGGGTCTACTGATCCACCATTCCCGTCTAACACGCGATCAGTATCTGAAATATCGCCGCCGCCGAAAGAAGCTGGGTCGTCAGCGACCTCGGAGTCGTGATCGGAAACAACTGTAGCTTCTGCAAGGTTGGCGTATTTCAACCGTAGCTCCTCGGCTGTTAAGCCTTCATCATCATCAACATCGTTATCGTCCTCACTCTCAGAGTCTGAGGAGGACATGTTGTCCTCGTCGTTGTCGCCGTCATCTGAGAGGTCATCTGACCCCGCTTGCTCTCCGTCGCTTGAATCAAGGGCGTCACTTCCGGCTTCGCCAAGGATTTCCAGGCGTCGCTTTTCAAAGAGCATTGTTGACTGCTTTATAGCACGATCCAACGCCTGTTGGTCTTCGGCTTTTCGCTCTTCCTCCCAGCGTGCTAAACGCATCCTATCCACCTCAGCTCGTGCAAGATCAAACATCTTCTGAAGATCTTTGGCCATCTGTTTACGTTTCCCGCGCATCTCCTCCTGTTGTTCCCGAAGGATATCTTCGGGATCCTTGTTGCGCTTCCTCCATGCATCAGCACACCACTGCGCAAATAGTCTTGCCGTGTTGCGATGACGCCTATGCTCTTGATCGAGAAGCTTTTTGAAGTAGGAGACGTGGGCCACGAGATGATCTTGATGAGAATATTGCTGTGGCGGTTCCTCCTGCTGCTCTGGTAAGAACGCAGAACATACGTCTGGGCTCAGAAGACCCCCTGGCTCTGCCGCTATTGCTACCCGGCGTCTCTTTAGAGCCTCTTCAAGCGCGTCGGCCGGTGCGAGAACCGTGTGGTCCTTTATTCTACCCTCATCGCTATCCAGCCATTCCTTGAAGGAGTTGAATTTTCGGGGCGGCAAAACGTGAGACGGATGCTGAATTTCAATCATCGGTCGCTTGACTTTGATCCGTAAACGCGGAACTGGCTCATCGGAATCATCAAGGCAATCAAGCCCGCCATCTTCGAATTCTTGGCCTAGATTATGCTCATCCTCCAAGGTCGCGGGAGTACTCGTATTTAAGGCGGATCGGCTGTGTCGGCTGGAGCCGTTGACACCGCCCTGGGAAACACGACGCGAAGTGCTGGAGCTGTGCGATCTTGTGCGCGTATGAAGCTGCCTGGGTGCCGGCGATTGCGATGCCAGACTTTGTCTTCCTGTAGACCTCCTTGTCGTGGTACTTCGAGGAGAGCCATTGATTACGGCGCTGCCAGCTATAGACCTTCCATTCCGCTCCGGTTGTGTCGGCGTGGAAAATGGTGACGACGCGACGCCTTTCGAGCTACCAGACACAGTCTTACTCACAAACTTATTTTGAGCCGCACGGGTGTGTCTTTTGTCGGATGGACTCTGCAGCTCGAGGGGAAGCGCGTTGACTCGCGATGACTTGCGCCTACCATCCTGAATGAAGGATGTCGGCCCATCGTGCCCGGCCTTCTTCCACGGGGGTGATGCTGGCCGGGAGGCCGAGCGACGTGACGGGGTAGACCCCGCGAGTTTTCTTCTCTTCGATGGAGGTCCGTCGGGATGATCGGCGACAGGCCCGTCGTCTTCAGTTGGGAGAGCAGCAGAATTCAAGTCGCGGGTGGCAGAAGGTGTTGGAAGCTCCGTGGGAAGGACATCGGACGGAACGGCGTCGATTTCGGGGGTCACGCTTTCATCTTGGAGTAAAATTCCGTTCGGACTACCGTTTTGCATTTCTTGTAATGACGGAGACAGGGGCCCTCTGGACAGCTGACCCCAGTTTTCCCAACGAGGACGCGGTCGAGATGGGAGAAAATGACATCAACGTGTAGAGAGAACTGAGTCAAAGTGCCACGAGAAATTTGGCATAGTTATCGGCCCTGTAGCGTGACTGGCAGGCGAAAACCTACACGGAGGGAGTGATTGCGTTGAAGAGGTGGTTTTTTCGTCCGGTGACTTGGAGGCGGACGGGGCGCGCCGTGTATTAGTTAGTTTTCAAGTAAGTAGTTAGAGTACGTAGTATGTAAGCTTTGCTCGGTGCTGGGGGCCTCAGGCCATTACTACTGTCTCCGCCTTTGCTCTCCGCCAATCATATCCCTTGGATTCCCCGTCATCGCCCATGGCTGGAGAGTCGCTTTCAGTTTCAACTTCGAGCCTCAAGCCTCTCCCTCGTCCCTTTCCGCTGCTCTCCACCTTCTCTTTACCTTTCCGACTCGCTCCATAACTGATCACAGCACCAACGGTGAGTCACTCGCATCTCTATCTCTATCATAGAACCTTCACTTCCTGTGCCTCTGTGCCATTGTGCCTTCAATTGTCTCAACTGTCTCTCTGGGCTAGTCGCTAACCTCGAATACATTTCACCAGATGCTGTCTCAACGGATCTTGGCCCGGCGCCTGCCCCAGGTGACCGCCCGCTTCACCGTCCCCCATGCTTTTTTCTCCCAGCTTCGCAGTCTGGCCGCGCCGGAGCTTGATGACCCTCTTCAGGTATGAGCCGATGGGACAACTGTGACCCTTCCCCTCAATCGCTGGCCCACCGAGCGGAATTGACACCATCTTTCCACGGCTTGCAGAACGGCAACTACCAGAACCCTCCTCGTATGAAGCGGGCCTTCAGAGATCCCTATGGCGACTGGTGGGACAAGCAGGAACGACGCAACTTCGGCGAGCCTGTTCACGAGGAGAACGAAATTCTAGGTGTCTTCAGTCCCGAGCAATATACCCATGTGACGCCTGGCAAGGGTATCCTTCAGATCGGAGCTTTCATCGTGGCCTTCCTCGGCTTGTGCGGAACCGTCAGCCTTTTCTACCCTGATAAGCCCAGCGTTCCCAGGACCTTCCCCGACGGTTTGGAGAAGGAGTTGGGTGGACCCAGGGCTGTTCCCGTACGTCGATACTGCACCCCGTTTCTCTCCTGATGTGTTTACGCAAATGAAACTGACTATTGTAACTTTGCTACTCTCTAGGCCCGTAAATCCGACGAAGGCTCGTGGTGATCGAATTATTCTCTGATGCGATGTAAATAAGTACAATATGATTTTCGCTGTTTTCTTCAACCTTCCGTGCGTGGTTCCAGCGAACACTGGTACGGTGGGGTAGGGCCATCCCCAATTGCTGAACTCACAGGCAGGCCTCATGCGTGGTGGTTCGCAATGGCTGTCTGTTGTCATTCCTCGGCCGTAATGCGGGCGGGTTAAGTCAGGGAATGCATAGAATGGTGACCTATACGGGGATCCCGGCCACTGGACAAGTGGGGGGTACTTATATGAGAATCGCATGGCTCCTGGGAAGCTCCATCCGATCGGCATAGTCAATTCCAGATGAAAATCACAGTCTGTGCGATCATCTCATGACTCGCAATATGCACCTTCCTAGGTCTTTGCTCTTGGATTGCTGTGGACTGTTAAAAGGAAGAGGGGTTTTTGTATTGGTGTTTGCCCAGGTCCTTTTACCTGTATTTAGGATTTAACGTACTCTAGAAACAGGGTCTATGTCCAGATTATCCCTACGATTGGATTCAAGCCAGTGGGGGGCAGTTGTTGAAACTGTATGTACAGTGTAGGGCGATTGATACCTACGTCAGTCCCTTAAATGTTACTTAATATGGGGGGCGGGCGCAAGCGGTTTTTGTTTCACCAACCACCACTAACTACAACACCTTTGAACCACCGCGACAATAACACACCACTTCTCATCTTCCCCCTCCCTTCCCCCCACCATCTTCTTTCACCCCCTTCTTTCTTACCGTCACTTCCTGTAGCCGCCCGACTTTTATTTACTGCAGCTTGCTCTCTACTTACGACCCAGGTACTATTCCTTTGCCGGGTCGAATTGCATCTGGGTTCTGTGAGTTCGTCGGAAGGTCACCCTTGCGAGGCAGCTATCTCCATCAGCACTCCCTCCCCTACCTAGGGCCATGCTGTTGCTGGTTTGATCACTATACCAGTCTATCCCATGATCTCTCTCTCCCTTCCAAATACTGCACTATCTATTTTGAGGACCCTTAGGATATAGAAAGGAGTTATCCACCGACAGCGAGAAACGACACCGCCTCTTCTTCCGATGTCGACAGCATCTACCCAGTCCCGAGGGCTCAACCGACGGATCAACAGCATTCAAAATGAATCTCGCCATTCGCGCACTCCGTCTGGGTCCCGCAGGCGTCCCGTAAACTCCTCCACTGCCTACACCTATGCGCTCCGGGTCGCTTACTTGGCCTATCTTCTCCAACCACGACTGCGCCGGGTCCAAACTGTTCCAGCTCCGCAACGGCCCAAGAGAGCTTCAACCTCTTTTCACGATTTGATGAGCGATTTTTCGCTCGTGCGAGATTCAAAGAGCACTCGGATTCCCCATGGGTTCATATCGGAGCTGGAGAAGAGGCTGACTGGGGTCCTGATTGGGAAAGAGAAGCGGAAAGAATACCAAGATCCGCTGGTCGTGAGGACCTTTGCTGCTTTTCTCAACACCCTGAAGGATCAGTCGTTCAAGAAGCGCATGGAAAAGGATCGGCGGGCCGAAGACCTCGTCCTGATCTTCTATTCGAACGCGACTAAGGAATTGAGCAAAGGGAAGGAACCCGACGATGATCACTGGAGACTCATGGTGGACAGACACGTGGCTCTTTTTGTCCGTTTGTTTGCACTTATTCTAAAAGACCACGACTGGGCCAAAGAACGGCCCGAACTGGCCAATCGACTGGCGGTTCTAGAGAACAAACTTTTGTCTCAGGATCAGGATCTTGTGCAAACAAATGGCACCTCCAGCGTAGAAGTTATAGCCCCGTTAAGCTACGATATCAAGGACATGCCCCTCGTGCAGCATGTTGCCAGAATCTTCGATGTGAACCAGGGCCAGGTGCAAGCCGATATCAATAATAATCGAGGCGTCTGGACGGGACAGGCCGCCCTGCGAGATTTGAAGACCTATCAAGCTCATCTGACCCTCAAAACTAGAAAAACGCTGTCTCGGGAAGACTTTGAGAATGATGAGGCATACGAGCTGTGGAAGAAGAACGAGGCACCAGATCTCTCCCAGATGATGCTTGCGATTGTGCAGTCTAATCCTGAATTGGCCAAGAGCACCCCAGGAGGCGCCCTTCCACAGTTCAATCCGAACGCTGCAGACCAAGATCCAGCAGGGGAGCTTTCGAGAACAAATTCCGAGCGACCGTCATCATACGTTATAGACCAGCCCGTGGATCTCAGCTCATTGTCCCTGGCTGACGATGGTATGAACGGGACGGACGAATCTGATACATACACCTACATACCCCAGGACCCTCGGTCAATGTATCGGTTTATACTAGCCCAAACTCTTGGTCACGACTTGAAAGACCGTGAACTTGAAGCCTCTCAGGCTACATCAGAGGCACCCCTTATGAAGCTTTTGTCGAAGCAGTCGACTGAGCTCTTGAATGAGATCTGTCTTCGCTGGCGTGTTCCTGCCTTCTCAAGAATGACCCTCTTTCTGGATGTTGTGCGGTCCAAATTCGTTGACAACGAAATCGATCTTGACACCCTCGATTCGGCATTCGCATTTGTCAAAGAAGCGCCGAACTCGGACGGCAGGAAGCGTAGTAGCTTCGTGGCGTCGGTTCTGTTCGACCGTAAGAAGTGGACCATCCACGATCTTCTATTAATGCAACAGATACTATCCTCCCTTCACGAGGCGCTTCTAAGAGAACTTTATGATGTGATGATGGACTGCTACGAAACCAAGCCACGTCCGATCGGCCCGGTGATGTACATACTGGAAACCCACATTCAGATGGATCCCAGCTATACCGAAGATCTGGAAGATATCGATCGCTTCCGTGCGTACGTGCAGGATGGGCTGGCGCAGAAAGCCTCGGAAAAATATCAAGAACTTTTGGGGCAGCTTATCCCGGTGCAACCAGAAGAGTGGGAAGTAGACCATGTGATTCAGCTGTGTGATGCGATCACGAAGCTTGCGCAGAAGATCCGAAAGCGTTATCGCAACAATCCAGAAATCATGGGGTAAGAGATGTCATCACCAACGCAAGCCGTGTCTGATTCACACTAATCGAATCCTAGGGTCAACCCTTATCTGATTTTACTCTCCAATGTGCTTCCGATATTTGCGGAAGACGTTCACGAGATGGTGGCTCGAATAATAGAGTCGGAAAACGTGCGAGGAGAAGAGACTGACATACAAGATGGATTTGACCTTTACCGTCGACTTGCAGATGTCCGTCGTCTTTTTACCGAGGCAGTGCCTGAGTACGTCCCCCAAACAACCCCTTTGACCTGACACAAATCCGGTTGCTGATTACAGTACTCAGCGGATCATTTCCGTTCCATGTAGAAGGCCTGATGGAAAACTTTGTCTGGCGGTGGATTCGCCTGACGGACCAAAAGGTCATGGATTGGGTGGAGCAGGCAGTCAAACAGGATGCCTTCAACGTCCGGGCTGATAGCTCGGCGGAAGAGATACCTGAAGATTACAGACACAGTGTGTCTGTCATTGACATTTTCCGTTCTTTCAACCAGGTGGTGGAACAAATGATACAGCTGGAGTGGGACGACGACTTGCAGTATGCTAAATTTATGACAGCTCTCTCCAAATCTATCGGAAGCGGTGTCGCGAGATACTGTGAATCCTTGGAGCAGATGTTCGCGAAGGAAATGGATCGTCTTTCTCCGGATCAGGAGGCTGCTATGAATCAAACGGCTCAGGAAAAGCTAATGCAAATCGCCAAAGAAGCATGGACAAGTAAAGAGAAGATTGAGCCCTTCCAGTTCTTTCCCGAGGTGCGTTCGTTTGAAATTCCTTGTTCGGGCATCACTAATCCAACCATTCACTACAGTCCTTGGTCAAACTCAACAATGTCGAATATGCACTTTCACAACTTGACAAGCTTGAACAAGAAATCAACGTGGATGGTTGCGCAGAAGTTATAGCAAGACATGCGGCACCTCAGT